GATGGCCCCCCAAAACGGCTCCAGACGGCGTCAGACGGGCCAGGAGGCCGTCAAGACGGCCCAAGATGGCTCCAGGATGGCCCAAGACGGCACAAGGGGCCCCCAAGAGCTCTTCAAGGCGATCCAAAAGGCCTGCAAGAGGGCAGTCAGGAAGTGTTCCGTTTGTTTTTGACGAAGTTGGTATGTGCTTCTTCTCGGCCTTCCGACGACCTGAGACGGCCCAAGAGCCCCCAAAGATCGCCCCAAGATCGCCCAAGAGGCCTCCAAGATGGCCCCAGAACGGCCCAAAAGGCCTCCAAGATGGCCCCAGAACTGCCGAAGAGGCCCCCAAGAAGGCCCCAACACGGCCCAAAAGACCTCCAAGACGCCCAAGATGTCCTCCAAGACGGCCCTGGACAACCCCGAGAGGACCCCAGGCCCAAAGCCGGCCCAGAAAGGCCCCCAAGACGGCTTCCGACGGCGTCAGGCGGGCCGGGAATGCCCTAAGACGGTCAAAGAGGCGCCCGAGAAGCCCCCAAAAGGCCCCCAAGAGGCCCAAGGAGTCCCCCAAAATAGCTCCAAGAGGCTCCCAGAAGGCTCCCAGGAGGCCCCAAGAGTGTCCCCAGAGGCTCCCAAGATGCATCCTGCTCCTCCTCCTCCTCCTCCGAATCCGCCGACCCTGTCGGCGTGTGTGGGGTGTCTGCCCGGTCCCGTCAACGGGGAGCCCTCTTTCGTCCCCGTCTTCCCATCCTCCTCTCCCGTCGGGGGAAAGAGAGAGAGAGAGAGAGCACCCTTCCTCGTTCGGGGAACGGGCTCGCAGCTTGAAGGAATTCCATCCACGTCCTCATTACGTCAAAGGGAAGCCCCTTCCCTTTGTCCCTTCCCCGGCAGAGGGAGAGTCCCGGGGGGAAGGGGGGCAGCAGGAGCAGGAGGAGCAGGAGGAGCAGGAGATGGATGGGAGTAGGAGGAGCGCTTCTTCAGCGGACCCCCTGGCCACCGTGAACATCCACACACCCCTGGACGGCACCCCCTTTCTTCGCCGCCACCCCGAGACAGAAGCCAGATCCGACTGCTGACGGCATCCGAGCTGGCTGGTTGCCCACCAGGGCCAGCGCGAGTCGAGAGGCGACGAACGTTCCCATATGCAGAACAGGCGAGCACTCGGTGGGAAAACGAGGTCTCAGCATAGGTCGCACACTGTTGCGAGACGAACGACGAAAAAATGTTCACCTCGCATGTTTCGCATGCGTCGGGCGCAACGTGTCGCGAACGGCGTGCCCGTGCTACCTGCGTGCACGTCTTCGTCGAAAGCACACGTTCCAGGCGCTTGCAGTGAGCCTGGAACGTCAGCACAGGGGCCATGTGTGCACAGTCAATTTACCCCACTCAAGGAACGCTACAAAAAATACAAAGCCCCGCGTTTGCCCCCAAAGCACCTAGGTGCACGAAGAGCGCCAGAGGGACAACCATGGAGGGACCTCAGGCACAGCGAGCACGTTCCGAACCCGCACGGTTCCACATGTTGGCTTCTTGCTTGTTTGCATGCATTCCCCCGCCCGTGTGTCCTAATCCGCCGACCCTGTCGGCGTGTGTGAGATGAGTTTCTGTTCACGCCCCGCTGTTTCGTTCTCTGCGAGGCGCACGATCGCCTCAAAGACTCCTCCGATGGATTTCCGCCAACATCGTCAGCAAACCCAGCAAACCAAAAATCTCGAACGCACCTCCCATGGGTTTTCACCCACATCGTCACCAAATCCAGCAATCCAAAAATCGAGCAACTTGTAATCGAGTCGAAGGGAAGCGCCTGCCCTCGATCCCTCCCCCGCCTAGGGGAGCAGAAGACACGTGGCAGAATCAGCCGGGCTCATCGGGTGGGTAGAGCCCAATGGGCGGGTCGGGAAGGCGGGCCCAAGCGGCCAGGTCGAGCAGGCGTGTTGCTGAAGCGTGAATATTGCATGAATCGAGAGGAGAACTCAAGCGGTAGCACGATTCCAAAGTAAACCGTGATAAAGGCCAAAGCGAAAGCGCGATTCCTGAGTGTCGAGGGCGCGGCGTCTGAATAAGTTGAGATGACGTCGAGCTTGTCGCAAAACGCCTTGAGAAATTGGTGTAAGAAAGAACGCTAAGACAATGAAGGAAGAAGTACGGAGGGACTGAAGGTTGGCACACGCTGAGCAACACTAGCACTGGACTGGGCACGAAGCGAAGACGTCGCCTACGTACACATTGCCAAGTTCGCGCAGCGTGCATCGCAAGCAAGTGTCGAGCCAAACTACTGCTTCCGAGCCGTACCCCAACGACCTGCTCCCCTGTACTGTTCATGGAGCTACCGCTTCCGAAGCGCACCCAAGCCCCCGCTATCAGAGGAGGCCCCTGTTTTTTCTGCGGCACGATGCACCGGCACGATCAGCCACATGCTGACAACGTGCAGGGATCTTTGCTGGCAACATGCTCTGGCGCAGCCAGCCACCTGAGACGACGTCGCGCTTGTCGCGAAAAGCCTTCTCGAGGACAGTGACCCCATGATATCGCCGTGTGAATAGGCAGTGTGTCCGGACAGGCTGCACACAGCCTGTACGAAACAAACAGGAACGCTCTATAAGGCTGACTGGTGAGCCTTCTTGCCTAGATGAAGCATGATGTCCAGGAGGGAGCGAGGAGCTGGCGTGGGAAAGGACGAGGGGGACATGAAAGACGAAGCACAGAGGGACAGAGGCAACTAAGCGGCCCAGTAATCAATTACGCTGACCGCAGAGCGAAGACGCCGCCTGGAGCTTGCCCAATACATGAGGCGTGCGTCGCAAGCAACTGACAAACCAGAATTACTGCTTCCGAGTCGCACTCCTGCCACCGCAGGAAGAGGATGCCTCTTCTTCGCGGCACGGCACCCCAGCACGATCAGCCACATGCTTGAAAGGCGCTGCGAAGCTCCCCCTGACCTCTCGCCGCGCCGACGCGGCAGAGAAGGAGCCGTTCGCTCTGTGGGAGGCCAACGCAGGGAAAACTTGCCCCAGTCGCCCACGATGCCGAGGTCTTGCCTTGCCTCGGCCACGCGACCGACGCAGACAAAGAGAACAGACAAAAACAAAGGCCCCCGTACTGGCGAGCCTGTGCTGCGTCAAAACCTCCCCCACGCCTCCGCTGGCCGGCGGGCCCCGCGCGGGCCCTCGGAGGTGACTCGCCGCCGGCCGCGTGCGCACCGCCGGCGATCACCGCGGGGGCGCCCTGCGCTGGGCGCGCTTGCCAAAAAAGGCCCCCCGCCGCCCCCCCCGCGGCCCCCCCCCCGGGGGCAGCAGGAGCAGGGTCGCGAGAGCTCCACCACCACGCGTGCGGGCGCTGGGCGACCCTGGATTCTGTGGGGCCGTCCTGGGGCGCCCCGTCGGGTCCCTCCAACGAGGGAGAGGCCCCCACCAGCCCTGGGCGCCTCACTCTCAGAGGGGCACGAGGGCCCTGCTCCCCTCACCCCTCTCCGTGTCGCCGTGGACGTCGACGTAGGCCGCGCTGCTCCCGCTGCCCTTGGCATCGCCGTCGGCCAGGCCGCCAGGGAGGGGGGGCAGTGCCCCCTTCTGCCGCGCGTGCCGCACCAAGAGAGCCCAGAGGGACACGCCCGCCGCCACGGCAAGGGTGCCGACCACCATCCTCCTTGCCTCGATGCTCGCCTCGAGGTTCGCCTCGGGCTCCGCCTCCGTGGGCTCGGAGGCTGCCGCCAGCGCCAGGGCGGACACGTTGGGCTCCGGGGCCTCCTCCAGAAGGCGCCGATCTGGCTCGCAGATTCTCCACCCGCGCCTCGTCACGGTGGAATCGGAGGACCACAGAATGCTGGATGACGGAGTGAACCCGTGAGGACGACGGCGCCTGCCACTGAACTTCCGACCGTTGACCAAAAGGTAGTCGAAGTACGATTCTGTGTCGAAATCCGCCACCGTGCCCCTTGGCACGCTGAGGCGTGGTAGGATGCCAAGTGCTGGGTCGGGCATGTCCTCCTGCAGGCGGATGATGGACGGAAACAATGGCCACAAAAGCAAGCGGGAAATCGTCCCCATACCTATGTTTCAGACTCTTTCATGTTCTTGAGGATTCCCCCTGTAGAGGGGCATGGCCGACTTACGCCAAGTGCTGTCTGGTGGAGCTCCTGTGCTCTTCCAGCGGGCCCCCCGTCCCCCTCCCGGCAGCAGAACGGCTGCGTGCACCGCCCCGTCCGTCCCGAGGCTGCCCTGGCGTTCTGGCGCCTCCCTGGCGCCACCCGGGGCTCTCCAGCGCGTCCACGCACGACCGAGGAAGGCCACCGAGGCCGCCAAGATGGCCCCAAGATGCCGCCACGACGGCCCGAGATGGCCACAAGGCGTCCCCAGCTAGCCACAACAGGCCCCGAAGACGGCACAAGCTGGCTTCAAGAAGACCCCTGGGAGGCCAAGGTTTTGTAATATGCTGAGGTTTTGTAATATGCTTCGCGTGATCGCTGGTTCGGGCTTCCGTCACCACATGGTGCGGCCTCTTGTGCGCTCCTCGAACAAACGCCGCCCAGAGTGCTGGACTGGTGCGGCGGGGGCACTTGCCGCAGGCAGCTGGATACTCCACGACGATTGGAGCTGCGTTCGCCGCGTTGATCTCAATCGCGCACTGCTGGCTGTTGCTGTAGTACTGCGGATAGTTCGGGCTCTGCACACATGCGCCGTCTTGCACGCACGGGCCGGAGATGGCAGCCCACATGCTGCCGGAACCGGGCGTCGGTGCAGCGGTCGGCGAAGGAGTCGGCGCAAGAGTCGGCGCAGCTGTCGGGGCAACCGTTGGTGCAGCGGTCGGTGACGGCGTTGGTGCTGTTGTCGGCGGGGGTGCAGGTGTTGACACTGGCATGCAGAATTTCCACCCGCTCCTCGTAACGCTAAAGTCGGACGACCACATAATACTGGATGAAGGGGTGAACCCAGACGGACCCGAAGTTCCAGTATATACTTTCCATCCGTCGATCATGATGTAATCGAAGTACGATTCTACATTGAAGCCCTCTACGACGATCGGTCCTGCGTTCGACGCGTCGATCGTAATCGTGCACATCTGGTTGTTGCCATACGGCTGCGGATAGTTCGCGCTCTGTACACATGCGCCGTCTAGCGTGCACGCACCGGAGATGGCCGACCACATGTGCGCAGAGCCGGGCGTCGGCGCAGCGGTCGGCGCAGGAGTCGGCGCAGGAGACGGCGAAGCTGTCGGTGTTGCTGTTGGGGATGCGGTCGGTGCTGATGTCGGTGCGGCTGTCGGTGGTGCTGCTGTTGGAGAAGCGGTCGGTGATGCTGTCGGTGCGGCTGTCGGTGCACCTGTCGGGGAAGCGGTCGGTGCAAGAGTCGGTGCTGCAGTCGGCCTGGCAGTTGGAGAAACGGTCGGCGCAGGCGTTGGTGCTGCGGTCGGAGGGGGTGCAGGTGTTGATGCCGGCATGCAAATTCTCCATCCACTCCTTGTAACAGAAAAGTCAGACGACCACAGCACAGTCTCCGCTGGGGTGACCCCAGAGGGACCTGAGGTTCCAGTATACCTGTCCCCTCCGTCGACAATGAGGTAGTCGAAATACGACTCAACGTCAAAACTCTCGACGACGATCGGTGCTGCGTTCGACGCGTCGATCGTAATCGTGCACATCTGGTTGTTACCATACGGCTGCGGATAATTCTCGCTCTGCACACACGCGCCGTCCAGCGTGCACTGGCCGACGACGTCCGCCCACATGTGGTCAGGAGAAGGCGTTGGAGGAGGTGCTGGAGTTGACGGAGTCGGGGCCTCAGTCGCCCCCATCAACTCGTCGATCCAATCACGCACGTAACTGACCCGAGACCATATTCCGGGGTACCGCTCATCTGCGCACCCGTAGCCCCAGGACGTGGCTCCGTGCAAGACGTAGGAAGCGCCTCCAGAAGCACAGACGAGAGGTCCACCACTGTCCCCCTGGCAGGCGTCGGTAACGTCCCCGGCGCTGTTGACGCCCTGGGCGCACAACATGTCATCGGTGATCTGCGATTGGCCGTAGGCCGCGCTGCAGTCTGAGTTGCTGATAATGCTCACCTGCGCCTCCTGCATCAAGTCAGGGGATGTCCCACCAGAGGAAAGGGTCCCCCACCCAGTTATGAAGCACTCTTCACCGTCCGCGACCGCCTCACTTGGCAAGCATGCTACCCCAATGCATTCGTTCAAGGACGCCTCACCGACCAACTCTACGAGGGCAAAGTCGAATCGCATCGTCGAACTGTCATACTCTGGATGGGAGAACACTTGCTTCACCTGCAGTACCTCCTGGCTCGAATCTGCTGAAAGTCTGTGGTAGCTGCCCGCTACGATTGAGAAGCTATAGCTACCCACACAGTGAGCAGCTGTCAGGACCCAGTTGGGAGCGATCAGTGCTCCTCCACAGAAGTGCCCCCAAGAGGCCGCCAGAGAAACCTGCCACTTCCACTCGCATGGCGTGGTGGCTTGCCCTCCCACAATGCGCTGGCCGCGCTGCGTCTCCCAGGGAGTGTTGTCCAGACCCTTTTCGCCGCACAGCGGCGCTGGCGACGGTGGCGGCGTGGTCGGCGCCCCCGTTGGTGCTGCAGTCGGCGCAGCCGTCGGTGCTGCTGTCGGCGCAACTGTCGGCACTGCTGTTGGGGAAGCGGTCGGCCTTTCCGTTGGCGTCGCAGTCGGCACGGCTGTCGGTGCTGCTGTTGGGGAAGCGGTCGGCGCTGCCGTTGGTGCTTCAGTCGGCGCGGCTGTCGGTGCCGCTGTTGGGGAAGCCGGCACAGCTGTCGGCGCCTCGGTCGGTGCTGCTGTTGGAACAGCGGTCGGTGCTGATGTCGGCGCAGCTGTCGGTACCGTTGTGGGGGAAGAAGTCGGCGCCTCCGTCGGTGCTGCAGTCGGCGCAACTGTCGGTGCTGCTGTTGGGGAAGCGGTCGGTGATGCAGTCGGCGCAGCCGTCGGTGCTGATGTAGGGGATGCGGTCGGCGCTTTCGTTGGTGCCGTAGTCGGCGCAGCTGTCGGTACTGCGGTCGGGAGGGCAGTCGGCGCTACTGTCGGTGCTGCTGTTGGGGATGCGGTCGGCGCATCCGTTGGTGCCGAAGTCGGCGCAGCTGTCGGTGCTGCTGTTGGGAGAGCAGTCGGCGCTGCTGTAGGCGCAACCGTAGGTGCGGGCGATGGCGTCGGGGGTACCGTCAAGTCCCCCATCAACCCAGTCATCCAATCCCTTGCATAAGTGACCCGACTCCAGACTCCAGGGAAATTTTGAATGCCACACGATACAGGTCCCCACGACACGACGCCGTGAAGAAAGTAGGTGCCGCCTGAAGCGCAGACGATCGGCCCTCCGCTGTCCCCCTGACAGATGTCTGTTACCAGACCACCGTTGGAGCCCTGCGCGCACAGCATGTCATCTGTGATCGTCATCCCTGACATGCCCCACTGAGCCTGGCAAGCTGCATTGGTCCAAGTGGTCACCCCACCCTCCTGCAACAAGTCAGGGACGCTCCCTCCGTTGACCTTCCCCCACCCAGTGGTGAAGCACTCTTCATCTGCACCGATGTCCTCCGCTGGCAGGCACGCGAGGCCGATACAGTCGTTCAACGGAGCCGCACTGGCCAACTCCAAGAGGACATAGTCGTAGCCCTGATCCCAGTTGACATAGTTCGGATGAGTGTGCACTTGCTGCACCTCCAGTCGCACGCCTACCGTGTCCGACTGGGACTGGCTGTGAAGGCCCGCCACGACCCAGAACGAGGAGCGAGGGAAGCAGTGGGCGGCCGTCAGGACCCAGTTCGGGGCGATGAGCGTTCCTCCGCAGAAGTGCCCTCCCGAGGTCTGGAGGGAGACCTGCCACGGCCACTCGCAGCGCGTGGCTGCCTGCCCCCCGAAGATGCGCTGGCCGCCAGCTGTCCAGGGAGTGTTGTCGGCACCCTTTGCGCCGCAAGTCGATGCCGCGCCGATCTGCACCAATGCCGTGCACACCAGTGCCGCGGAAACGGAAACAACTCTCATGGTGCCTGCAGGTGTACACGTTCGAGGGTATCGGTGCAAACGTTCCGAAAACCTCGTCGGAGTAAGCGCGCCGAATCTATAACATGAGGCTTGGGCCAGAATGGATGCGGAGAAGCTGCTTGTGGCCATCTTGGACCCTCTGAGGCTGTCGTAAGGCCGTCTCGGGTCAGGCTGGAGTCGTCCAGAGCCCTCTCAGGGCCCTGTTGGGCCGTCATGGATTTCCTCGGACGCTCTCTGAGGCCCGGGGAGCCCTCCTGAGGCACCCCTGGGTTGCCGGCCTCGGCCTCTCTTGGGTTAACCCCCTGGAGGCCCCAAGAGGCCCCCAAGAGGACTCCAAGAAGCCGCCAAAAGGCTCCCAAGAGGCCCCACAACGACTGGACTGTACGTGCTCCGGACGTGCACCCCGCGAAGCGAGAGGAATATACACAAAGTGCACTGCATAGATCCCACCACAGATATTACTGAGCGGCAGCGTTTTCTGCGGAGGCGATAATGCAACGTACCCTATGTTTCCACTATGTTTCCAACTGTTGCATAATTGCTACATGTTGCATTGCGTGACATTAGTATGTCTCCCCCCCTACCCCCCCCCAGAGGTCACGCCACATCCGTCGACCCAAAAGTGGTGGACCCCTTCTGGGTCTGAAAACCTACAAGAACCTATGGAAAGTCGATGATTCGGTACTTTTGGCCCGACGGCCCAAGATGGCCCCAAGAGGGCCTACAAAGACGCCAAGACGCCCCAAGGGGGCCCCAGAGGACCCCCAAGAGCACCTCCAGAAGCCAAAAACTATTGGTTTTCCCATGGCTTTTTGAAGATTTCAGCGTTCCCGCCCATTTCGACTCTCAGAGGTCCAGGACGGCCGAAATAGCCTCCGAAGTGGCCCCCAGACACACCAAGAAGCCCTCAAGAGGGCCCCAAAACGGCCCAAGAGGGCCCCCAGACAGCCCAAAGAGGCCGCCGAGATGCCCCAAGAGGCCCCCAAGACGGCCCAAGAGTGCCCCAAGACAGTCTCCGAAGGGACCAGACAGCGCAAGAGCGCCCCCCGGCGGCGCCTCCGGCGACGTGAATCAGAAACCAGCTCTAAGGGTGCCCCGACCGCGCTGACAGCATGCACCGCCGCAGTGAGCTCGGCCCGTTGCGCGGTCTGGGACCCGCCCACGGGCCCGCCACGGTGCCGCAGCACGCCTTCAGGCCCCCTCCAGCAGAGACCCCAAGACGCCCACACGGGGCTCCGAGAGGCCCCCAAGAGGCCTCCCAGACGCCCCCGCGAGGACCCAACAGGCCCCAAAGAGGCCTCCAAGGGGCCCCCAAGAAGTTCCCAGAGGCCCGACAACGACTGGACTGTACGTGCTCCGGACGTGCACCCCGCGAAGCGAGAGGAATAAAAATATGCACAAAGCGCACTGCATAGATTCCACCACATATATCGCACCACAGTAGTTGCTCCACAGTGGTTGCTCCACATAAAATGCACAACGATGAACGTATCATCTAGATTGTATACTATAGATTGCACCACACTTACCGCACAGCATAGAGTACACTACCAATATACACATATGAATACATATATAGCTCGACATAGATTGCAGATCGTAGACTGCTAGAAACGCACTGTGTGGGGTCCACGCTGGCTGAGATGAGATCACGAAGGCCTTTGCAAACTCCCGAGAGGCCTTCATGCACCGAAGTGGTCGCGCACTGCCAGCACCCGGGAAGGGAAATGAGCGGGGAGGCTTTGGCACCACCCTCTCAGCCAAGCAGTGCTGCTTGACTCGCCACGGCTGAGCACCCTATTGCAGGAGCCACTCTGGGTCCTCAGGAGGAGGGCCCTCAAGGGGGGAAGCAGCAGCAGTGGCAGGAGGCTCAGCAAGAGGAGCGGGAGGAGCGGGGGGTCCCCCTCGGGGTAATTGGGGGCCTCGTCTGGGGCCTCGTCCTCGAAAAGTCCTGGTGGACTACAGTCGTCCCGTATCAGACGCATGCGCAATAAGGATGCAAGGGCCTTGCACGCCCATTTCGAAGCTTTTCGAGCGGGGCGCGGCCAACGAATGTGGCCAAGGATGGGCCGAGAGGCAAGGATGCAAGGGGTACCCTTGGGAAGGTTGCCCATCCTTACTGTACGGTTTGACTGTAAGATCCATGTCAGTCCTCTTGAGGCAGCTACCGAGGATGGACAGAACCCCCTTTAGTATGAAGACGACCTCGGGCCCAAACCTGGCGGGCGCAAGCCTCGCAAATGACGGCCGCGGCGCCGTCTCGAGAACGGAAAACGGACAATTCACTAACGACGTGTCAGGGTGGGGGTTATGTCCACCCCCGAAGTTAGTCGAGACACCCAGCGTCGTGGGTCTCCTGGGCCCCTTGCAGACAGCCGCGCCGCAAGCTTGGCAGCCAGCCGGGCCATCCGGAGGCAGCTCTCCGGCAGCTGGACATTTTGCCGGGACCCGGACCTGCCGAGCTCGGAGGACGGGGGAGACGACGACGGGACGAAGGGGAGGGCGGGGGAAGGGGAGGGAGGAGGGGGGAGGGGCGAACCAGGGGGTGAGGGGGAGGAGGTGGGAGGGGCGAGCGAGGGGCGAGCGAGGGGAGAGGGGGGAAGGGGAGGGAGGAGGGGGGAGGAGCGAGCGAGGCGGGAGGGGGGGAGGGGGGCTGAGACTGAGACTGGCTCACTCGGACGGTCTCCCCTGCGCTCACCACAACAGGCACAGACCAGGAGCTCATTCCTCTGACCTGACGGAGCTCGAACAAGGCGGCCAACCTGCCCACTCGCTGAAACAACAAGGCCAACTCGACCAACGAGGACGGGGAGTCACGGCCGAGGAGGACCATCAGGCGGGGCAGCAGGAGGAGAAGGACTAGGGCAAATCCAGGATGCATCCACGATGCTGCAATACCCATCGGTCGAAAGAAGTAGGTTTAAACATGGAGTAGGAAGGCGTGGAAAATAGATTGGGTTTCCGCCCGCCCCCCAAAGAGGACGGAAAAGGTGAAGCCGCTCGATCATTGAAGTAGGAAGGCGCTTAAAGCAGATTGGAATCTGGAATCCGAAAATATATCCTTCTCAACGACCGATGGGTACATCCTTCCGTCCCAAGAAGAAGGACAGGCGCCGATGTGCGCCCCAGGGGGCGGCCCTCTAAGAGCTCGGCGGGGGCGCCAGAGCGCCGAAAATCAGATGTCGTAGTCCGTGGTTACTCTACGATCTCGAGTGTGTACTGGCTCCATTGATACAATCCTTCCCATGAGTTTGCACATGCAGCGCCAAAAAAAAAATCGTGGATGCAACCAGGGCAGGACCAGGGCAAATCCAAGGTGCATCCACGATGCTGCAACACACCATTCCGTCCCGAGCCCCCTCCTCATAGGTCCACGCAAAGGTTTCCTTCTGACCTGCGGGAACCGCCCGCCCCAGGGACTCCTCATGAGCAGGGGACTCGGGACCGGGTGGATTGTCGATTCGTTGACGCATCCTGGGCTTGCTCTGGGCCTCCTCCTCCTCGTCCTCCTCCTCCTCCTCATCCCTCCTGTCTGGGACGTCCAACACACCCTTCCGTCCCGAGCCCCCTCCTCATAGGTCCACGCAGAGGTGCCCTTGTAAATTGCGGGAAGCGCCCGTCCCCCCTTCGAATCACGAGCGCCGGGTGGGCCTGCCACTCGGGCCAGACCTCGTGTTGTGAAGGGTCCACCTCCACTTGCCTTAGACTTTTAGTAAAAAATGAGCAGACGTATATATAATATAATATATATATATATATGAACATACATACATACATACATACATACATACATACATACATACATACATACATACGTACGTACGTACGTACGTACGTACGTACGTACATACATACATACATACATACATACATACACACATACATACATACACACATACGCACATACATGCGTACATATCTACATACGTAGGTACGTACGTACGTACATACAGACATGCATACATACACACACGCATACATACATACACACATACATGCATGCATACATACATATATACATATATACATACATACATACATACATACATACATACATACATACATACATACATACATGCATGCATGCATACATGCATACATGCATACATGCATACATGCATACATGCATACATGCATGCATGCATACATGCATACATACATACATACACGTTTGCATATATATATATATATATATATATATATATATATATATAGCGAGAGAGATAGACACACACATGCACATATACATATACCAGCGACAGCCCTGCTTGGGAAATCATATGCCTTCTAGCAGCGCACGCGTTGCACACATTCCACGTCATGGCCATCAGATGTGCGGAGATCTCACGCAAGGAACCAACTCTGAAAAATGAGTCGCCAATCATCCATGCGTCTGCTGCGCAAATTGGAACTTTGACCCA